TTAATCAACAATAATAGAAAACCAAATGTAACCGAAATTAGCTATTGGCCAAGTTTAAAATAACACACTCACGTTGAGCCACGGTGACAAGTGAAGATGGCTTATATCATACATACTCTACACATTAACATGTACTGTCGAATGCATGTTTTGCTATTTTTGTTTTTTCTCTCTCGATGTTACATATAAAATAATCTAAAGCATTGCTTAGGGGTTTACATTAAATAAGATATACAAAATTAGAACAATAATTCTGTATAAAAACCACAAAACCAACATTTTCAACTAATCTTTTATAAGTAAGATATACAAAATTCTTATTCCTATTTGGTAATTCATTGCAAGTATAACGTTTTCATTTTTGTTTCTTTTTTTTAAATACATAACTGGATTAAATGTTTTTTTTTATGTGGACCTACGTTTTTAAAAAACTTATCATGTAATTTACTCAATAATGTTAAAATTGGCCAACAAGAATTTCGTTGGCAACAACCAGCAATAAAAATTCGCAAGATTCACAAAGGATTCATAGCAACTCTTGTATATTAAAACTGAACACTCTTACCAACTAATTCCTTTTTGTTTGTTAATGAATAGAAATTGTACAAGTCCTGGTTTAGAAAGTAAAAGTGCTTATTTTGACATGTATTTAAATAACTATTTATAGGTGGATGTTGGAGCCAAACTTTGTGTGTACATCTACCAAAAAGCCGTAGATAAATGATTAACAAAATGATAAATATAATTTTTCTTTATATAAGATAAGTTAATTATTGGAGTAATACTTACGAGTTACGACTATATCGGCGCAACCACCATACATATGAAAAATGCAAAAGTGTGTTAATTAGAGAGGTGTTCACAAGGAGGACCACGGGCCATATTGCTCTCTAGTCTTTAGGTGTGTATTATTTTAGTATTTTACAAGTTATTCCCACCAAAAACGTCCAAAATGTCTTAATAAAAAGTAGCTCTCAGTCTCTGAATCTCTGGTTAATAATACAATAAAATGACAAAACTATGGAATAAATCAAATAGATATAATAAATGAAAAGACCTTCAAAATATCTTAACTGAAAAGTAGCTGACTAATATATAATACAAGAAAATGGTAAAACTAATGGAATAAATCACATAAATATACAAAATGAGATCAAAGTATGAATGAAACTAGTTACTATACCATTTATCATGCATTCGTAATAAAAACCTACGGAGTCATATGAATACACTTTATTACACAATTTTTCAATCAACACACAATTTACATTTTCTTTCATAGACATATGTCGTTTCTGTAACAATATCTTACCGTATGTGTGTATAAATTCATCAGTTTTTGGTCTCTGAGGAAGATTAGTAGAGATATAAGAGGAGCATATGTCGTGCTGGTGTAAGGATAACGTCATTTAAAAGAAACAAGAACGAAACGATAAATGTTTTTATTAGAATTTGTTTTAACGAAAGTGGAAAAAAATGAAGGCCTGAAAGAGCATAGTCTATGTCAATAGGCCCAATAAATCAAGATGGGCCGCATTTGATATTTATTTTTATTTATAACTGAACAACATCAAATTTGGTTTGTTTCAAAAGTGATCATTTCTTG